TGGCCACACATGTCCCCCCCGACGACGACCCCACCCAACCAAGTTTAATCATATTTTTAATATACACTTCTTCACATGTGTCGCTCGTTCGTAAGGCACATCGAGTTCGTCAAGTCACTGTGTGTGTAATATGTGGAAATGTATAACTACGCTGGTTTGATGGGTTTGATATAGTTTTCACACAGTGCAGTACTACTTGTGACAATTAAGTCCTCGACACCTCACACCTCTGACGATATGCATCCATGCCAATCATATCCATCTTCTTAACAAGCAGCTGCTCGCAAGGATGCATTCCTACGCAAGTTGCAGTCTAACCCTTCACGGGAGGTTTAGACTATGTCTACTTCCCACGACTTGCGTTACACATCCTTCACTGGATGCACCGCCAATCCCCACTTGCATGTGCTGCCACTTGAGTACAAATGCTCGAAAGGTCACCATATCCGGATAAAAATTGTGTTATCCATACTCCGGTACAGGAAAGGTTCGCCCAAGTTAGCGCCATAAAATATGAATTATGCGCTCATATTATATCGGTGTTGTAGCAAGAAAAATCTTTCGCATGGGCGATGCAATCGCGTCAAGTGGCGATGGCATTGATCGCGGCAGCAGCAGCCGACGTCGACGAGGCATCGGAGTGCCGTCCAAATGGGGCGTGTTTGGTCCTCTCAGCGAGATGCATGCCGGGGTATTGAAGTCATCTATGCGACCATCGTCTCGAACTACCCCAGCATCGGGGGCCACCGCGTCGAGACGGACCACGACCACGAACCGAACCATCAACTTACCTGCTCGGTCCTTCTCATTTCGGCAGCGACGAGGGAAGTTGGACACGCGCGCGATTGCACAAATCGATTTGAATCGCGTCGTTCGAGAGACCGACATCGACACGATCCAGGTGCTCATGCTTCTTCATGCTGGTTACACGTCATGACTTGGCTTAGAACCAATTGGAGAACTTGGCGTTTTCAGACATCACACTGCAGGATTTCAACCAGTACTCGGACGAGTACTTTTTGAAGCTGTTTCAAATCGCCCAGGTACTAGCCACCTCTTCAACCAGCCTCAACTAACAGGTTGACCATGACCTACCTACCTCGTTGTACATGCAGTTGACGGTGGAGTACCTCCTCAACGTCCAAGAGTCCCTCGTCATGCACACGGAGGAGCTGGAGTCGCAGTGCGAGCAAGTCCAGCACGACTGTGCGGCGCTGGCAGACGAAAACGAGTCAGTGGACGCCGAGCTGCGGCTGCTCAAGCAAGAGATCAAGCAGAAACAGAACACGATATCCACGTATGAGCTCATGCTGCTGACCCGGCAGCATCAGGCTCCTCCTGTCCCGCCGCCTTCGCAGGGCCACCTACCGCCATCGACTTTGCCGCCTGTCGAGTGCATCTTGTGCAACAAAAAGTTCCTGTCCACAGAGTACTTGATCAAGCACCAGCGCCACAAACACGTGGGTGGTGCCACTCAGTCACAAGTGACCAGTCCGGCCCCTACTACTGTGGTCCAAGTCGTGGCTGCGGAGCCCTCCCCCCCACCACCTGTAGCAACGCCGCCAGCAACTCCCGACTTGACGGTGGTGAACGCCTTGATCAGCGCCAACACAGCCATCCTGACCCAGCAAATCGAAGCCATCCACGTCCAGCTAGCCCATGACAAGTCGGAGCGCGCGACGGAGACGCAGCTGTGGACGCAGCAGCACCAGTCGTTTGAAAACAAGATGATGGAGCACATGGCTCGCATGCAGGAGGCGCTCAAGGACATGCACGTTCAGGCCCAAGCCCAGCGAAACGAATGGACGCACTTCACCCACGACGTTTTGCAGAAAGCAGCAGACAAGGTCGTGGTAGCTACTACTAGTAACGTTAGTCCTCATATTGGGGCGATGGTCCACGACGGAGCAGACGACCAGTGGCGACACGATATGTTGCACCAGTTGAAAGCGCAGCACGACATGGACAGCCAGCACCGACAGGTATACAGGACACACACTGATCTTCATTGTTGCTTGGAGGATTAAGAATATATAATATCTGTGATTGATACATAGGACCAGCTCGACCAAGAGCGACAACGGTGGAATGACCGTGAAGCCCAGCTCCTAGCGCAACTCAACGACCAGAAGAACCAGCAACTGCCGACGTTGACCCAGTTGGTCGCTCTGGAAGCCCACAAGTACGGCATCGACTACGGCTTCGCATCGGCGCCAACACGGGATCACCACGTCACATGTCTGTCGCAGATCATTCAAACCGATCCAAATGTGTGCGACTCGCAGCAGCAAACAGACGAAGTTGTACAAGGGCCAAGTCGAGCGGTCGCTCAAGAGCTTCTGCCGCCTCCCACAGTCAAAGTAGAAGAGTCACCGCCTTTGCCCCTGCCACCCCCTGCGACGCTGCCCGCTGCGGGTCGTCCTGTCGACGAGGAGAGGAGGCCATTGAAGCCAGCAAAAGAGTTGGCACCGATTGAAACGTCGCCCCTCCAGCCAACTCTATCGCAGGGGGCTCCAACAACAGTACCGACACGACAGCATCAAGAGGCGGCCGCCGCCACAACGGTGCAAAAGGTCGCGGCGGGGTTCCTCACTCGTAAACACCTCAGCACCCCCGAGAACTGGCTCCTTCGGCACGGCCACATTGAGGTCCCCATCACCCCCCACATGACAGCCAACGACTTGCGCCGGGTTCTAGCTCAAAAACTCGGCGATGTCGACCCCCATCGCATCATTCTGCACCACCGACCGTCGGGTACACCCACCTTCCTGGTGGCCGTTGTCTTTGCGTGTATACATAATATATATATATTTGATAGAATTTGAGATTTTTATGTATATATATATATATTTGATAGAATCGTCGTGGTGGACGGGGTGTATGTAGGCAGCGAACTCGTGGGTGACGTGCTGGTGTTTTACACCCACGGGTTGGTCGACGTTGAAGTCATTCCTGACCATCCGTTGCTTTTGGACAAGTTGGTCGACACGTTCAACGCCCGCACGTCGCATATTCAGGTCTCGATTCTATATATATATGGCCTTTTCATAAATATTTATATATATATAGACGTTGCGCAAGACATTACCAAGAGATGATGGCTCGTCATCTATCTCAACAACGATGAGAGATGTGGGCGGGGGGGTGGTCCAGCTCCAAGCACTTGTCCGGGGGATGCTAAGTCGTCGGCGGGTGACGGAGCTGCGCATCGACCGCCTCGTGGACTTGCGATTGAAGCAACTGCATGACCATTCTTCGACTGACGAGGATGCCGTCGCTCACCATTTGCGATACATTCCCCGACGGGAATCGTCTGAGATACAGGGGGAAGCGGTCCGAGTGCAAGCGCGGCTTGTGCAGGCCATGGCCACGTTTCACCCGTCGTCGTCGTCGTCGCAGACAACCATGTCGCAGGCAGCGTTTGACATGGCCATGCTAAAGATAAACGAGGTAGTTGGATCAAGTGTGTTTGGTATTGTGCGCTAGTATATATGATGCTGGTATAGGCGAGGAAGTTGCAGCCAGCGCCGGTTCAAGGTCGCATGGCGAGCCTCTTGGACGCGATCCACACAGCCGCGATGGAGCATTATGACCCGGCGCAAGCCAAAGCGGATGAAATCGAGGCGGACGCGGCCGTGTCGATTCAAGCTATGGTGCGGATGGGACTAGCTAAGAAACTTGTGGCGCAACTGGCCAAGACAGCAGCCCAGAAGAAGGAGGAGAAGAATCACCAGCTTGACCCATTCATACAACTGGATGCCAACCCAGTGGCCGCCGAATCCAAGCAAGTTGGCCACGAACAAACAGATAATGTCGACCCCCAAAAGACAGGGGAAGGTGTCGCCTTGGACGATGAAGTAGATGCCAAAGAGGTCGAGGAAGAAGAGCAAGACGGGGCGATCACGATCGATGACTTCAACAAGCTCGAGGACCGCCCCATGTCGGCGCAGCTCACGGCCGCCCTGGCTCGCACACACTATGAGGAGGAGAAGGCCAGCCTCCACGCGCTGCACGCGGTCGCGTCCTCGCGTCTCATCTCTCCGCACTCCAATACCCAGCTCAAGTCGATGCAACGCCGCAGCAGCCGCGGCACCATGCTGCACAACGCCCGCTAATCCGTTGGTTCCAACACCAATCAGTTGAACGATCTAGTGGAAACTGCTCGTATGATGTTATTACTCGGAAGCACTAGTAGTACTAGTACTACTAGTAGAAGTACTACTACTACTAGCGAAACAATCTGTCACTTGCGGTCCGAGACGTGTTAGGCAAACGCCTTTGTCCACATCTTCTTTTCCTTGTCCTGTTGCTTCTTCATGTGCGCTTTCAGCCGTTCGTTCAACGCGACCACGGCCTTGTCGTCCGGAGCCAACGCAAATGCTTTCTAGAGCCATGGGTTAGTACTCTACTCTCGTACTAGTAGTACTACTAGTAGTTTGTACCTGACTGTCGTCGAACGCCCGGGCGTAATCCTTGAGTCTTTCATAGCCCAACGCGCGGCGATACAGCGCCTTCGTGTTGGTTGGGTCGATGTCCAGCGCGTCTTTGCACTGGACCACCGCCTTGTGCCAGCTCTCCATCTTCAAGTAGCACTGCGCCACGTTCAAGTACAAGCTCAGCTTGACAGCGTTCACGTCGGCCGCTTCATCCGGTCGCAAGTCAAAGAACTTGGTCGCATGAGTCAATGCCTACAGAACCATATGTTCAAATCAAAATATTCAAAGGATAATATTTTTAAAAAAAATATAATATTTTTTAAAAAAATATAATATTTTTTGACATTCGAATACGTTTGATGGAAGAGTACGAATACTGGGACGACGTACCTTGACATACCGAGCAGCGGCATGTTGGACATTGCCGCCACGAAATAACTCGTTGCCTTCGTCCTAGTTTTTTCAAGAGTTAGTACACAATAGTGAAAGGGAGATTCATATTGCCACCACAAACAGTTAATGATAGTATTATAATAATACACATTCGTGAAAGATATTACGGATACAACATTCAATAATGATGTGAATATATATGAGGTAGGTAGAGAGAGTGATCATATTGGGGATACTAATATGAGAAAGAGAACTTATTTTGGTGCTATTATAAATATATATAGAGGTAGAGATATCGTTGGAGGAACTGTACCTTGTTTTTGACAACCAACCGCATGCGATCGGGCGTTTTGAGCTACGAGAGATGAATCCACCAGGTTTACGGGGTATTATTTATACTACTACTAGTAGTACTACTAGCAGTAGCAAATCGCACTCTTACCTTTCGAAAGTCGTGGTCGTCGTCATCTTTATGCTCTAGCGCGGCCTTTTCCGATTCCAGCTCCAACTGGCGCTCCAGCTCCTCGTCATCTTTTGCGACAGCTGCAAAGTACGCTTGGCACGCCTGGACAATGTCCTACGGAAAACAAAAAAATTAAAAAATATATATGATATTCCCTACAGATTTCAATGCGTGGACGGTGGCGGTGGCTTGGTCCAGGGTAGCGGTCAGCGCTTGGTCCGAGTAGAACCAGTCCTCGGCGGCATCGAGGAACGGGCCCACGACCGCCGACTCGATGAGATGGCCGTGCTTTTGGCTTTGTTTGGCTCGGATTTCGTACACGAACGTCTCGATTTCGTTGCGTTTGTCGGCGAGCAGCGCCATCGTGTCGTCTTGCGCTTGCATCGCGAGCTCGGCCGCGATGGCGGCGGCGTCCACCGTCACCTCTTGCAGCATGTTGCCGTTGCTGTCAATGCTAAAGGCGGCGCCGATAGCCACGGCCGTAGCGCTGTCCAGCATCCGGCCCAGTGTCACATGAGTTCCGATCGCGGCTGAGATGGCGTCCTGCACCACGGGCATGCGAGTCCCCCCGCCCACGACCTCGACCGTCGAAATATCACTCGGAGATACTGCCACGTCAGCAAAGAGCCCTTCCAGCAACGTCCGCAGTCCGGCGGTTTCGCCTCGGCCGAGGTGCTCAAACTCGGACTTGGAGATGCTCAGCGCAATGTCGGCGTCCGGTACGAGGTTCTCCACGGTCACGATGGCCTCTGGGATGGTCGAGAGCAGTTTCTTGAGCTGTTCGCATGCGTGCAGAAGCCGGCGGCTCTGCCGCGTGTCGGGCTCGAGCTGCAGCCCATGGGACGCATTCAACTTGGCGGCAAAGTGCGCGTACAAGTGGCGGTCGTAGTTGGACGAGCCCAGCGCGGGGTCGTACGCCGTGGCGAGGATCTGCTCGCCCGCCGCTGGAGGTTGACGATGGTGTCGAGTGAGAATTTGGAGGTTTATAGCGGGCAAAGGATGGTCATGAAGAGCCGCATGATAACACACCTGAGAACTGGACGAGCACCGCAGTGGTTGAAACATGGCCTACATCCACGATGACTAGTGTCTTGGTCACGTCTGGGTCTTTGATCGGGTGCTTGCGGTGATAGCACCGCGCCAGAGCTAGACAGGAAGTTGGGGCAAAGTGAATTAAGATGGGTTTTGAACTTGATGAGATAGAGTACCGTGGTCTCGGGGGACTAACGTGGCAGCGCCAAACCCTGCGATTTTAATGGCTTGTAACAGCGCGGACTTTTCGGCGTCAGTCCAACGCGGCGGAATCGCAACGCCGAGCTTGAGCGTCGCCACGTCCGCGGTGACGTTGCGGCCGATTTTGGCGAGTAGCATGGCCATCAACTGCACGGGGCTGAACTCGGTGGTCGCGCCATTATAGTCGACGGAGGCGACGGGGAGACCCGCGGCGTTGACCGTGAAGTTGGACCGCTGGCACGGGAACGCACTCAACTGGGCCACGACCTGGTCGAGCGTCTTGCCCAGCAGCAGGTTCAAGTAGTCCACCGTGTTCTTGGGGTTGGTGCTCGAGGCCAGCACGGCCGCTTCGCCCAGCAAACGCTCCTTGTCCTTGAACGACACCAACGTGGCAGTGGTCATGCCACCGAGTTCGTTGAGGACAATGTCTCCGGAAGGGCGAGCCACGACACATTGTTTGGAGCCCTACGTGATGCAGCCAGACGCATGAGATGATCGTGGTGATGAGACTCTATTGCTACTGACAATATCCAGGCCAATGAAGTCCAACGTCGGCGCGGTGGCGGGGGTAGTAGGCGTCATGACGATGCTCGAGTTTGAGTCGATAATTCTTGAATCGTGGTGGGCAACGAAATGTACACCACTCTCAGTGGGAACGACCGCACTCTCCCACTCACTCTCAGCGAAATTGTAGCTGAGGGATCGGAAAAGTATTTTGTCCAATGAAATGCCTTCGACTAAACTGTATGACCAATCATCACCCTGCAAAAGCTACCATCCAATCAAAACGCTGCAAGCTCGAAAAGCAACACCGAATCTCGCGCACTTTCTACCGGGTAGGCGAGCACGATGAGGGTGGTGGTGGTGCAGATACGACGCCCGGTCGACAAGCCGGACAAGCCCACGACGAAGTCAAGTAACAAGAAGCAAGTCCCACCGGCGTCGGCTCAGAAGTTGCAAGTACCATCAACGTCTGCAACTGAGAAAGTACCGCCAACGTCGATGTTCGAGTTCACGGAAGTGACATCTCCACGGACCAACAACTACTTTGCCAAGATCTTGTGGCCCAAAGCGCAGTTCTTCGAGTTCCAGTTCAAAGGCATGGATCTATCCCAGCCAGAGGACAAGTTGAAGTTTTGCAACTTCCTGACCAACATGCAGGACACACCCGTGCCGTTTGTGCGATACAGGCTCAAGTTTCTGACGTACTCACAGAGTCACATTGCAGACAACAACCGCGCATGCTTTGCAGCAAGCAAGCAGAGCGTGTACAACGTTCACTCGGCGTCCAATCTGAATCGACTCCCCCTTTCAAAGCAAGCCAAGTACAGTAAATTGCTGTTTACCCAGTACGACGAACCCATCCGCAAATTGGCCAACGTGGTTGTGGAAGTGGTAGCTGACGTCACGCGCAACAACTTTACATTCACGGACGGCTGCGGAACGATTTCACTAGACCTCATGGTGGAACTCATGGAGTCGCATCTCAGTGGTGGGGACTACACGAATGTGTGTGCAGTGCAGTGTCGCCTCCCTGGGATCAAGGGCGTGCTTGTCGTGGACGCAACATCCCCGGCGCGCACATTACGGCTTCGACCGTCCATGGTGAAACTGGACGTTCTATCACTCTTGCAGCACTCCAAGCTCCGCGAAACCAGCTCGGCCACGCTGTTCCCGCTCTTGCCCATCGTCGTGCTCAAGACCAACGAGTCAACCGCTGATCATTGCGGGTATTTGAACGACCAAATCATTGCCCTTCTCCTGCAACGCGGCGTACCTGCCTCCGAATTCGAGACCCGCACCCAAAACTACATCGACAGCGTCAAGTACATGGGGTTGGACTGCCGATATGCTCTGCAATGCTACCAATTTCGTGGCCTGGACGACTCGCTTTTACGCACGAAATGCACGCAACTGGCGGCATCGTCCCCCACCCAACAGATCAAAGCAGTGCACCGCGACGTGCTGCAAGTCCAAGCGTCGGCCATGGCGAGTTTGCGAGTACCATCATCGTCGACCAAAAAGAAGGAACGCCTCAAGATCCCTGTGGCCAAGTCTCGGCTGCTCCTGGGGGTGTGCGACTACACCAACACCCTTGGTCCAGGCGAGTGTTTCGTGCAATTGAACGAGTCTGGGGGTGATTTGGTACTGCTCGTCGGCAACGTGGCTGTGACCCGCAACCCTTGCTACCACCCCGGGGACATCCGAGTCCTCCGCGCCGTGGGTCAGTGTGCAGCCCTTGACCATCTCGTCAACGTCGTCGTGTTCTCTGTGCAAGGTTCCCGACCGGCTGCCGACGAAATGGCTGGCGGGGACCTCGACGGCGACATCTTTTTCGTGCTGTGGGACGGCCATCTGCTCCCGTCCCCAGGCTCGCACCCTTCGGTCGCATTTGATTATACTGAAGCTTCCGTGAAGGGGCTTATCCAACAGTGGGCGACGAAGGCCATGCTAGGTCCGCCACCGTTCAAACCCGCAAAACAACCAAAGAAGAACACTTATGTGACCATGCAGCATGTCGTCGACTACCTCGTCCTCGGCGCCTCGACTGGTCGACTCGTGGGTCGCATCGATGCACTTTTGCTGCAGCTGCAGGCGCTGCCGCCCTCTTCAAGTCGTACAGAGTGGACAAACCTCCTGAACGCCATGTTTGTGTGTGGGATCGATCAACTCAGCGACGTCGTGGATGTGGACTCGATGTTGCGCTCCATCGAACGTAACATCAGTCGACACGGGGCTGCTTCACAATCTGCTCCGTCGGCGCCGCACGGTGTAGGCCCGCTCCTGGCATACATTCGGTCGCTGGAGACGATGGAAAAGCCGCCACCGGCGCTGGCGCTGACCATGTTTACGTCATCAGTGGCCAAAATCGACCTCGCCGTCGACGCCCGGGACTTTCAAAACCTCACGCAGTTGTACTTGTGGGCCGTGCTGGACGTGCTCTCGGACGTGGAGCGCCAAGTTCTCAAGGAATCGACCATCCCAGATGTGTTTGCCGCGCAGTTCCAACCCAAACTGGTGCGCAAGGTCGTTGCGTTACTCGACCGTGAAAAACAGACCCTTCGACGCACCCACGACGTGTTGTGTAAGCGGGAGGACACACGGGCGCTGACTCGCATTCGTACGTTGAGATCCGACTTGGACGTCAAAACACTGAAAGCGAGGCAGTTCAAGGATGCTTCTTGGAGCCCAAAGAACGACGAACGACGGGCATGTGCTCGACGGTTGCAAGAAATGCGAGCGCACGTCGCTCGGCTTGTGAACGCGGCAGACATTGCAAACACGCAGCAAACGGGCTTCTTTACGGGCTTCATTTCGTGGTTGTGGGGGTCGCCACCGCCTCGTATGCCGACGGAAGCGGAAAAGAACCAGGCCCAAGCTCACATCCAAGCGATGACTAATCAGGTCGTGCAATTGCAATTGAATTTGAAGCAGATCGAAGCCGACGTCGAGACACTTCACCGTGGCGCGACGGCGTTGGCGTTGGAGGCGCAGCATACCGGTGCCTTGCTGATGCAGGAAATGGCCAACTTCACGCCCGCCAAGGAAGAGGACCTGCTCGAGTTCATGCGGGCGTTCCAGGACCAGATGGCCATGCGCGATCAGTTCGTGCACGTGTGTACGACGCTGTCGGCGGCGGCGGCGTCCACCAACTTGGCGCTGCTGAACGAATGCTTGGTGGCCGAAGTGCACATGTTTCAAACCAAGCTCCCAGTGTACAACCACCGCGCGTCGCTCGTGTCGCATCTCCAACGTCCTTCGTCCATGCTGCTGCTGGTCGTGTCTGAAACGGGCAGTGGCAAGTCGACGTGTCTGCCTCAGTTTTACCTGACGGAATACATCGCTCGAGGCATGGTGACTGCCGCCAAGCGCTTTTGTGTGGTGGTGCCACGACGAGCTGCCGCCAAGAACTTGGCCAAGTTCATGGCGAGCATGCGAAACGCGGCGGTGGGGGGAGGAACCGTGGGGTACCACGTCGGCACGCACAATGCGGCCAAGTCGGATCGAAACGTGCACAGGACGAGGACGCTGCTGGAATGCGTGAGCGGCGGCATCATTCTGGGCAAGTCCATCTCGGACCCGTGGTTTGGTCAGTTTTCAGTGATTTTCGTGGACGAAGTGCACGAAGAGTCGGCGGATTTGTACTTGCTGCTGGGCAAACTCAAAGCCGCGAGAACACACCACCCCGCGCTAAAGATTGTGTTTATGTCTGCCAAAGTGGACGAAAAGCGGCTCGTGGAGTTCTTTGGAGCCAACGACATGCCCGTGGAGACGATCCAGGGGCGGCAGCATCCGGTCACGTCGGTGCATTATCCGTCCGATGTGGACTACATGTCCCAAGTGATTCGCACCGTGGTCAACCTGCACATGACGAAACCCGTGCACGAGTTCCCAGACGTGCTTGTGTTTCTCCCTCGCATTACAGACATTGAAGAGGCCGTGGCGCGCATCGACCAAGAGGTGAAGGCGGGTAGAATCAAGAACCTGGTGCCGTTGCCGCTGCACGGTCGGGTCGACGACGCAGCCAAAGATATCGTGTTGAAACGCAATGTCCATCACGACATTGCCGAGGCCCCAGAAGCCCCCTCCGGCAGTACAAATGTCGAACAAATGCCAGACCCGAACAGCCATCGACACCCAAATCGCCCCGTCGACCTCCATTAGCCGCCACCCCCCCATGTCGTCGTCGAGTGATCTTTGCCACGAATATCGCCGAAGCGTCGTTGACCATCCCGGGCGTGGGGTACGTAGTGGACTCTGGGTTGGAAGTGGTGGTGTCCCGCAATGTCTTCTGCGGGGCCACGGTGCACTCGGTGGGATTTATTGCACGAACGTCCGTGGTGCAGCGAATGGGTCGGTGTGGCCGAGAAGGACCTGGCGAATGCACGCATTTGTACTCGGAAGACCAGCAGGCCCTATTCGCGCAAACCAAGAAGGCCAGCTACTCGGATCTGGAGCACATTGTGCTGCGGTTGGTGGCCAGCGACACGAACCCGTTCGAGTTTGACTGGATTGAGCATCCAGGCAAGCCGCAACTGCGCTTTTGTGTCGACCAACTGGTCAGATTTCGCATGATTGACACTACTTCAAGCCCGTGGAGAGTTACGTCCGTGGGCCATCACGCGTTCAAACTGCTTCGACTAGGCTTGGACTTGAACGCGGTGCAGTTGTTGCTTGTCGCACGGGACAGCGATCATCGTTTCTGTGATCGTGCTGGGAATGCGCAAGATGACGGCTCGGACAAGGCGGCGGTGGTTATTGCATGTGTCGAATATTCGTCGTTGTTTCGGCAGTGTGCGTTTGCCGACATGGACGACATAGATTGGGACCGCCCGTCCATTTGCGACAATTTCGTCAATTTGTTTGAGGAGTACCGCACCAGTGGCAGTAAAAAAGAGTGGGCCAAGCGGTGCAGCCTGCCACTGCACGCATTTGCTTCGATCGATCGCCGACAAAAAGAGATTTCAAAGCAAGTCCATAGCTTGGGGAATGCCGACATGGTAGGGTCGTCGTCGTGTAGATGGTCCTGGGCGCAGTGCGTTGCCGCCGCATACCCCCACACCCACCTCAAATTGGCCGGGTTCAACTACATTGGTCCAGAGTTCGTCATGGAGCAGAGTCCTGGCGAAGGCATGAGCGACAAGTCCATTCGACTTAGCCGTGACGAACTCAGTCGACAGCGTCTGCAGTGGAGTGCCGGCAAAACGTACGTGGCACTGCAAGTGAGTTGTCACGCTCACAATCCGTCGACGCTGTTTGCGAGCTTTGTCGAGGAAATCGACGACAAATCGGGGGCGTTCTAAATTGAATGTGTTGAACAGTGTCTTCGTGCCACGTCATGGGTACAAGTTTGCTACATAGAGGTATTTGAATGTTAGGCTAACGACAAGATAGATACTGGCCAATTAAAGGGGTCGTTGGAAAGTTAGGATATCATAATGCTAAAACGGCGTCAAGTAGTTTGCTGTTACTATTACTTCTTCTTCATGGGTTTAATGCGAGCCTTTTGCTTTCTTGCATATGCCACGTACTTGCTGATGGCGTCGTGAGCCAGGAGCTTTTCCAGCGTGTTGAAGTCGTCGGCTAACGTCCGGTTGTCAATATGGCTGTGGATGTTGCTGTGGCAGGCCCTGCAAATGTCAATGCATCGGCTCAAGTACTCCCGCGTGAACCCTCGCTTGAGATATCGCGTGTGGACTTGGCGCGGAATCAAATGATGCTCGGTGAGAGGCACACATCGCTCGCACATAGCGCACATATCCGCAGCATCGTCAGTCAGCACGTTGTCTGCCAACACCACAGACGACAGCCCCGCCACCTGAACGTTGCCAAACTCGACAAAACAGACTTCAACGGTGCATTCTGAAGCATCAAACGACACGACGACCGCTTCGTGCCAAGAGTCGTCCTCGGCTAGGATGGCCATACAGGTTGCACCAACGTCGAATCCTATGTTGTCTGTAACATGGTCGCTTGGTGGAGGATGAAAGCTCCCATGCAAATGCACCAGCACAGCCTCGATAACAGCGGAGATGTCGTGGGTTTTCAGATCAAGGTCCGCTTCCGATGCCAACAAGGCGTTTTCGATCGCTCGAGATGCCAAGTCAAACGTCGACTTGACTTTTTTCACCTTTTTCGACTTAGTGTTGTTGGTCGCTGCGGCTGACTGCGCATCCACGACCTCCTCCATGACCAGCGCCACCATATAGTCCACGATCGGATGGTTGGCGACTCCTGTCAACGCGCTCCGCAGAGCGGCTTCCACGTACTCATCCACTGGATCATTATTGTCCATCTCGAATTGTGACACCTGAACTTCCTTTGCCATCGCTGGAGACCTACACTCACTCGTACTACCGTAGATACATACATACATTAACCAGAAAAGGCAAGGTGGTGAAATAGGCAATTTTGTATGCAGCGCATGGTGAACCACCTTGCGAATTCCATAAATAATTCTGAAATTGTACAGTTTCAATTAAATATATCTTCAAGTTTGTATTGATGATTTTTATTTTTCGTGTGTCTGTCTCTTTTTGGAATTGGCCAGGCAGGTCACGTTCAAAATTGTCCAATTTGCCCAATCAGATGCCGTGAAATCACGAAAAGCCCTGTTGCGATATATTCTGCTGCTGTGATGACGATTGATGCAAGGAGCATTGAGATAATTACTGTATGTAGGCAGTGTATAAGAGCAAGATCATGCGATGTGATATTTCGGACTCGGTCAATTCGAACAGGTCTAGATTTCAGTAACATCACCACTTGCATACTACTGTATTCCACCATCCAGTTTGTGTCGGTGCCGTACATCTCCCTGCCTGTGTGATCACGTAGAGACCCTCGAAATTATATTGTTTCTGGGGTCTAATCGTGCTTAACGTAAACAATCACTTTAAGACGCATGTGAGGAAGGTGGCTGGGGAGAACTTCCAAAGCTCCCCGCTCATTCAACATTTTTGACCTCTGAAACTTGGAGATTGTAGCTGAATTAATGGGGAACAACCTCATATCAATTATATTGGGTTTCGATGCATTTCCAATGACTAAATCAACAAAAACCAAGCAAGTTTGATCTCATTTTAACAATCCATTTAGGACGCATATTTATATCTTGAATAATGTATACCACTTTGCATATAACTTGTGTGGTTAGGTTATTTCGCCTCGTTTCATTGGCTCAAGGAAATTTCACGTCTTTTCATTGGCTCATGCACATTTTGTCTTAAATTGATTGAAGCTCTTAAATTGATTGTTTACGTTACTGGGATATTGGGTCTGTAGGAGTGCGACGATCTAACAACTTCAGTACTGTACTGTTGTGTAGTACTAATAGTAATTAATAGTGCAACATAACAATCTTCATAATAAGTTGACTTAAAACAAGTTTGACGCTCCTGGACTTGAACCCGGGCTCCTTCCTCCCCCGCTGCTGCACGAGCTAATGCGTCAAACGCTTATCTTACTAATCGTTTCTTCAAACCGATTAAAAACAGTTACTTTGCCCTACTTTACCTATGTTTTCCCTAGGGGCCCTAGGGAGGGCAATGTTAGTGACTTGATCACTGAATCCCATAGGTATGGCAACAATGCCCTCGATGTTTCCCCATATTCCCCTGCTACGCTACCAATCACTGGTGCTGACCGAGAGGTGACTCTGCTGCAAAAGCTCTACTAAGTGGACTTAGGCGTGGCAGGAGCCATATTCCAAGCCTTTGAAGGCAACCGCATTGCCTTTTACGTGCTGGAGTTCGTGTCGTTGACTGGCGATGACTTCTTGTGCGTGCACACGACAACCACCACGTGACAAGCAGTGCGTAGGTGGCTCTTGGCGGTGCTGCCGCTGCTCATCGTGGCGTGGATGTTTGGTTTCATAAAAACCGTCACCCCAAGTCAAGGCCTCTTCATTGTGTTCTTCTACCTGTGCCAAGTGGTTGGTCATGTCGACCTTCACACAACAACGCATGACCAGCCTGATGCTTGTATGTACATGCACATTGAACACGACGTTGTAATTTCATGGTGTGGATCATTATTCAATTTGGCGCCTCTGTCCAAATCTCACTCGCAACCCAACCTCCATCGATGACGACCGCCGAAACCCCGAAAGGTGGACGTTGTGTTTACTAACTGTAAAATAGTATCATCATGTTGTTTCTCCAGTGTTATAGCCAATCGTGTGTAAGAAACAATGTGTGGTAGGCTCTGATTGGATATTAAAAAGGATATTCTATTATTAACAAGTCAATTATTTTTCCCCATACCCTGCCTCTCGGTCCATGACGTGGCAGCTTTCGCAGATCTCTCTCACTTTTTGACGTTTCTACCCGCGTCGTGACCACCGCCACTGCATCCCCCCTGCCAAACTCCAGGACATGCCCATCGTAGTCGATTCCTTTCGATGACTTGGTCCAAGCACTTTGGTACCTTGATTAGAGGTCCAAGATGGGATTTGTTCGTTGCTACTGCCTACTGCCTTGAAATAGAGTCCATGAACCCCCTTGTACGGTCCCATGTAAGCCGATCGCTGGACGGTATACATACCCCACACGAGTGTCAACGGGTCTCATTCAGCGGGATCTAGCCAAGCGACAGACAGCGAGCCCTCAAGGCTCCACCACCTTGTTATAAAACCAACAAAAGCAATCAACAAGTAAGTTGCTCTCATATTACGCGTGTTGCACGACTTCGGCGATGCTCTGGGCAATGTACTCGACGTTCTTAGACGTGACGCCGGCCATGCTGATGCGGCCGTCCTTGGTCAGGTAGATGTGGTGGGTCGAGATCATGCGGTCGACCTGGGGCTCGGTGAGGCCCGTGTAGCAGAACATGCCGATCTGGTCTGTGATGTGGTTCCATTCGGTCGTGGACCCGTCCACCTTGGCGATGTTTTCCTTCAAGAGGCGGCGCATGGAAATGATGCGGTCGGCCATGCCCTTGCATTCCGAGTACCTATCCGAAAAGCCATCAAGACCCAAAATATGAGATATCGTTTTACCATTGCTTCTTGAGCGTGTCGTCGCCCAGAATGGTGGACACCAGCAGCGCGCCGTGGATGGGTGGGTTCGAGTAGGTGGGGCGGATCAGGATCTTGAGCTGGGACTCGGCCCGGGCAGCTTCGTCGGCGTCCTTGCACACAATGCTCAACGCTCCCACGCGTTCGCCGTACAAGCCAAAGTTCTTGGCATATGACTGCGACAGCACCACGTTGTGCCCGTCTTCGACAAACTACAAGCGAACACGCCATTGAGTACATCGATTGAATCCAGATGGAAGAAGCAGGATGGACGGACCAGGCGGAGGGCGGCGGCGTCGCGGTCGGCATCGCCGGAAGCAAAGCCCTGGTAGGCGCAGTCGAAGAAGACAATGTGTTCCTTGGCCTTCATGACCGCCGAGATTTCCTTCCATTGGTCCAATGTCGGGTCGACGCCTGCGACAACGTACTTGGTGAGAACAACCATGGGGAGGAGGTGTACCGGTGGGGTTGTGGGCACACGCGTGCAAGAGGAACACCGACTTGGACGGCGCGCCTTGCAAGTCACTGATCAGGCCCGAGAAGTTCAACCCACGGGACGCAGGTTCAAAGTACGAGTAGCGCTTCACGTCCAAGCCCGCATCCTTCATGATGGGGATGTGGTTGCCCCAAGTGGGGTTGGGGAGGTAGATCGCCGTGTTCTTGCCAAGAAAGCGCGCGAAAAACTCGCCAGCCAAGCGGCATCCACCCGTGCCGGAAATGGTTTGGACGCCGACGACGCGGCCGTCACGAAGGGCCTTGGAGTCGTCGCCGTAGGCAAACTTCAACGACAGGTCCACAAAGTCCTTGGTGCCACCAATGCCAGAGTACTCCTTGTTCTTCTTGGCCTTGAGGAGGCGGTCTTCGGCTTCCCACACCGACGGAAGCACATACGGCTACGACAAGACAATGAGACACCGTCGATTAATGACCTGCGTACCTTGCCGTTGTCGTCACGGTACGCGCCGACACCGAGCGACACCTTGCGTGGGTCCGTGTCCTTGTTGAACTTGTCCGTCAAACCGAGGATGGGATCGGCAGGGCCCATGGGCACAGCCTCGAGCCACGACTTCGTGGAGAGGCTGCGCGTCGCTTGAAGCGCTTTTGACAGGCGGGAAAACATCATGGAGCTGGCAAATTGCAATTTGGGGCTTGAGTCCATCGAAGTTTATTATCCGAACGACAAGTTCAATTTTCGGATAACCGAGCCCAAAATTGGGTAAAATTCGGCGAATGCGCTTGTGGTGATGGGCACCAAGAGTGGGTTGTTGGCGCTTCTGGCCCACCACGAAGACCTGATATTCCATAGATATGCGCTCATCATGGACCGTGTAGTGGGCACATGGAAAAGTTAGCACTTGCGCGGGATACAAGCCCAAGCGTATGATAACTCTCAAGAGAACTAACTACCCGTAGCAGTTAGTACCGGTACTGGTTGCATAAAAAACAAGGATAATTCCTGATTGGACAACCATCCTCCGGATAATAGTGCAACCAATGAAAACGCAGGAAATTGAAGATTATCATTGTGACGCGCCCGACGTCATTCGACTTTCAGATGTGGCGTGAGGATGCCTCGGAGCGTTTTGCGGTTTGCGCGCCGCCTTGTATAAGTTTGCTGCTGGCACTTCTGAACATTGGACCGCGTCGCTCGAACGAACTGGAACAGCCATCCACCAATGGTTGCCAAATCACCTTGACGCTACTACGGTGTAGTCGTCACCCATATACTTGTAGTAGCATGGTTGCCCTGTAGAGTTCAATTCGTGGTTGACTGGAGAATAACATGGCCTCAGGATGTGAGTGGGCATTTTACGAAGTATACACTACTCCGGGTACTAGTAGTACTAGTATACCTCTACTATTAAAAGTATAACGTTAGTGTAGCAATATCCGGACACCTCGCGAAAGAATCGATTGAATTTTGCCAGACGGTTGTTCAGTGAGTGCACATGTTGATTTTGACCAAATATTTATCCAAATGATTCAATAACTTGCCAAAAAGATCGAAAAGCCTCAATAATTCGGGACGAACTTCAAGTGTCGTGCACGCATCCGTTGAAGATTTAGCCAATCAGACGCGACAGAAAAAGATTGCGGTTCAACCAAGAAGGGTTGACAACCCAACCACTACGAGGCCCCACATTTTTCCATTCTTCGACGACCACCTCCGCCATCCATGTCGCTGCAGCCTTCCAACGCGTCCCTTGTGGTCGGCCTCGTCGTGGCGGGTCTTGCGCTTGCCTGGAGTGGCACCTTGGTGTACCTGCTGGTTCCCCACTTGCAACAAGACCAAGAGGTGCGTCAAGCAGCGGCGCAGCACCGCCACGACGCGAAAACAAAGGACAAGAAGGCGCGTGAGAGGGAAACGTCCATCACGAACGGCGAAGATGTCAAGATGAATGACAAGCAGGCGCTGGTGGATGTTCGCATCTCTGAGATCCGTCCGCTGCTGCCGCCGGCGTGTCTGTTGGAGGAAATCCCGCGAACGGTCAACATTGCCCGCACAGTCAACAAAGGGCGCCAAGGCGTGTCGAACATCTTGCGGCGCGTGGACGATCGACTGGTCGTGATCGTCGGTCCTTGCTCCATCCACGACGTGAAGGCCGCAATCGAGTACGGTAGGCATCTCTCGCTCATATCTGCCGCGGTTGACGTATGTGGTGTAGCCGAGAAGCTGAAGCCGGTCGCCGACGAGTTGGAGAACGATCTGCTCATCATCATGCGCGTGTACTTTGAGAAGCCTCGCACCACGGTGGGCTGGAAAGGTCTTATCAACGACCCGGACATCGACGGCACATTCAACATCAACAAGGTATCCCGCTTGTCTTTCATGCAGCTGGGACGACTCGTGGTCACGACGATAATACGTGTAGGGATTGCGCATTGCACGGGAGCTTTTGTCGGAAATCAATCAAATGGGCCTGCCTGTACGTCAACTGTCTCGCCAGCTTGCTGATTGATGTCGTTATGGCTGGGGTAGGCTGGCTGCGAGTTCTTGGACACGATTTCCCCTCAGTTTTTCAGCGATTTGGTCAGTTGGGGTATGTACACATGATGCTCCTATCTCACTCGATTGACTGACTGGGCTGTAGGAGCCATCGGCGCCCGCACCACGGAATGCCAGTTGCATCGCGAGTTGACGTCGGGGTTGTCGATGCCGGTGGGCTTCAAGAACGGCACGGGTGGCTCCTTGTAAGATCATCGAAATGGGTTGGATGGGGTTGTCATGTTGGCGTGTAGGCAGCTAGCTGTGGACGCGGTCGTGTCTGCGGCGCACCCGCATTGCTTTCTGAGTGTGAGCAACCAGGGCTTGGCGGCCATCGTCAAGACGTCGGTATGCGTGATCTATGGGGATGCACGATGTCGCTGATGTGTTTCTGTGGCAGGGCAACGAGGCGTGCCATGTCATCCTCCGAGGGGGCACCACTGGCACGAACTACAAGAAGGAGCACGTGGACAAGGTGTCGGCGCTGCTGAAGAAGGCCAATCACGCGGAAAACGTAATGGTTGACTGCTCCCACGGTAATTCGAACAAGAACCACAACAACCAGCCATTGGTGGCCCAAGACTTGGTACTTAATCACAAGATATGCCGTCGCTGAACCGTCGTAGGCCAATCAAATCGCGGCTGGGGACACGCGCATCGTGGGGCTAATGCTCGAATCGAACCTTGAGCCGGGGGCCCAAAAGCTGAACCCGGGCGTACCTCTGGTCTATGGAAAGAGCATCACGGACGCTTGCATTGGCTGGGACGAGACGGTAACAACACCCCAACCAACATGTCGAAATTCAGATTTGTACGATGTAGGTTACGGTTCTCAAAAGGTTGGCCGACGCCGTCCAACAACGACGAAGTGCCAAGAGCTCGGAGCTGTAGACAAAAATGTACTACCGGTAGATGAAGGTTGCCGTGTAGATAGTAATGAAATGTGGAGTTGGGTACGTAGGGTTTGAGTTGTGTGCTTGAAAGCTAGCGGGACTTCGACATACAGTGTAGTATTTGTGGAACTGCCGATGCAGTACCATCAACCGCCACCACACCTGAGTGTGCAAGAGTGCTATATACAATACAGTACATACACACCGCGACAACCAGCTACTGGTATTAGATAGACTGATACTTAATATTAATGTAAAATATTGTGCTATCGAGTGAAATTTCGTGTTGTGGCATGGTTTCTCGTTGGAATTTAATTCGATTCGATTGGCTACCTCAGATGAGCTCAAAATTAATAACCAATCAAAACCTTCTCAATGAAATTCAACCAATCAGATCGATTGTGGGTCGGTTTGGTCGGCGCGATTCGATTGCACCCTCCCCAAATTTCTATCAAATCGATATTAATAATATATCTGAAATAATTCGGGGGAAGCCGGGGTTCGAACCCGCGACCTCCTGTATCCTAGATTTGACACCCAAGAAGCATCTATGATGTTCACTCTCGCGTCCATGAGTAAACATGAGTGCATGTGACAAACCTTGATTGGATGAAACTCGATGGTGGGGTGGGTGCCCGTGGTCATTTTCACAGTGAATGCCACAGAATGTCATATCCTCGACAGGCGTTGCTGGATGCGCTGTTGCGCTGGCGCATGCGGTCCAAAAATAGCGCAGTCGTGTGGAGGGGGGTCAGTACCTTAACCGAACCTCCTGCTGTCTCCTCCTACGCGCAACTCGTGATCAGAGTCAGCCACAGCGGCGAGGACCTCGAGAGCAACATCTGTGGTTTGGGCGAATGGCTGAGTCTGCTGGGGCTGCTCACGCGTCCAGGTGTGGACGCACTGGCGTTCCACCGCTTGGTAAGCCCTCGAGACGCCGCGCAGTGTCCGCTCGGCGATACCTGGTGCTCCTTCTGTGACGGCGTCGACCGTTGTGTCGATCTGGAGCTCCAAACGAAACGTGATATTTCCTCCAGTACAGAAGCCGAGACGTTTCTCACAGTTCTCCGTCACGCCATCTTCGAGTGGAACGATGCGACAGCGTCATCAGAGTTCCATGCCGTCTGTGACGCCGTTCGTTGCGTGCTTCAAGCGCAAGAGACAAACTCGACCAGTCGCCGACGTGCGATCCAAGGGGACATCTGCCTCGCGTCCCGTACGAAAGTGTCGTGGACTGGACGCTTCCGCTATGAACTTCAGACGCTTGCTGTTGAGGTGGGCGACTTAACCCAAGTCCCGCTGTGACACAGGTGGTCCTCAACCGAGGCCACCGGGTGCCGACCCTTGGCGAACCGACACGAAAAGGCATAGTATTACTAGTAGTATTACTAGTAGTACTAGGGCGTAGTAAACAGAACACCTGTCCCAGCCAACTGCCAGAATCTCACTCTTGGTTCTGCAACGTCGTGCTAACATCAAGTCAATCAAGTGTGTGGTTTGCAGGAAGTCGGCACTCCCCCATTTGGTTGTTTGTGTTGGCACTGGCGTGGGAAACAACACAAAGTATACTTTAGTTCCAGTGACCTACGGAACTGAGAGCAATGGCGAAGAACTCAAAAGATCGCGCCCAGCAGCCGAAGGCCGTGGCAACGGCGCCAGCAGCTGCGAGCAGCGAAACTGAGGAGGAAGTACCAGTGACGGAGCCACCGTTGGTCCCGGTAGTTGGAGGGACCACGGATGTGCTGCCGGCTGTGGAAGAGTCCAAGATTGAGGAAGTCCGGAAGACGATGGAAGAGCTGGCCAAGGCGAACAAGGCAACGGGTACCGCGCGAGCGGCGTCCATGACCTGGGATGAATCGCGGCGGCAATATGGTGGACAAACCATGGGACCGAACTGGGAACAACTACCACGACCCCCAATCGAAGGCGCCTATGTCGACGAAGACTACCCGCCGCCAGAGAAGTCCGATGCTGAGAGGCGAGCGGAAGAGAAGGCGGAAGCTCGAGCTAAGCTACGTGCGGAACGACGAAATCGACCGGACAGTACTCCTGACAGCGAGGAAGAAGAAAAAGAATACCAAGAAGAATAACGTAAGCAAGCTGAGCGGCGGCGAATCAACAAAGCCAATCGTCCCCCAAAGGAGAAGCGTGTCGACCATGCCAAAGTGGCGCGTGCGGCCCATGATCGACGGATGCTGGACACCACCCTACCAAGCAGTTCGGGATGGGGACCTCTTTCGAGTGGACCACCGACGCCAAGCAGCGGAGGATGGGGCCCAACTTCAACTCCAGTGGACCTTCATTGGTGGTGACAGATGTTCAACCCCCTCGGATCACCTGCATGGACAGAACCTTCCTAGTGAGTTGGGTGAAGAAGCGGGAGACATATGAGGACAAGCTACGGGCGAATGCGCAACGCATGAGTGGCAAGTGGCGACGGAGTGCTGTGGGGTTGATCCCCTCCACTAACCGCAGCCTCCTGAAGGCTACATGCACCTATGTTTGGCGAGTGCCTGTGGAACAACTCAGTGAGGACGACTACCGCGACCGCATCTTGGAAATCGTCGGACAACCAGCGACCAAGTGGACACCCACCAAGTCAGACATGCAAACCTACTGTCGGGCGCTGAGTGTCGACCCCCATGGAGACGTGACAAGTCGCCTGGTGTCATTTATGGAGCGGGTTGATGACGTCATCGACGAGAACGGCCTACGTCAACAACTCAAAGACTCAACCATGCTGAGACGTTCGTGAAGGTGGTAGCAACGCGTGTCACACCCAGCTACCTACGCGACAGAGTGGAAAAGCAAATGAAGACCGTGCCGGCAAACGATCTGGTGGCCTTTGCGGATATCTTATGCGAGCAGCTTGACCGAACGCATGATGCGGACATGGTCAATCAACAAAGAAACAGCTATGGTTCGAAGCGTGGCCGTGAAGAAGACGACCAAGGACGCCGCACTACGAAACATGCGAAGAAAGCCAACCAAGCTGTTCGAGATCAGCGGGAATTACGAGGAAATCACCCACGTCCACCAGGTGGATACATCAAGCCGGAACGAAGTGCGGCGGTGTGGTCCCCGTCGACACAAAAGCGAGCGGGGGACTCACCAGCCACAATTTACGGACCGCAAGCGAACTCGCGCCCAAGACACGACGACCGCCATGTCCAAGCTGTGCGTGATGAAGCACGCCCTCAATTTGCACCCGGCCGGGATGACCGCGGCATGCTGTGCTTTGTCTGCCAGCAGCCAGGACACATGGCCCGGGAATGTCCCAACAAAAAGGACGGGGATAGCGGCGATACAGGCTGGAAGAAGGGCAAGAACGCCGTCAAGCGGTTCAAAGCGCGGGAACGCAAAGCGAACATGCAAGCGAAGCGAATGAAGAAACCCCCACCACCCAGCAAGGAGGATGATGGACGTTGGGTGCAGCTGAACAGTGTGCTGGAAGTCCCATACTGCCCGGACACTGGCGCAGACCAAAACATTGTGCCACAAGCCATGGTGGATGAACTTCAAGCGTTACAGCCACAACTTCAAGTTGTCAAATTGGCTGCGCCATTTGTGGGAACAGCATGCAATCAGATGCCATTCGAAGCGAGCTCCTACGTGGACCTTACGCTAACAATGCAGACGGCCGCTGGACCAGTCAAGGTGCCAGACAAGCGCCGCTGCTATGTGGTCAACGACGGAGATGAATTCCTCGTCTCGGATGACACCCTCAAGACCATTGGTATCGACGTTGACCGCCTGCTGGAACAGGTGGCGCGCCTGCAAGTGGATGAGGACGGCGATGACCTGGACAAAGTTGGTGGCGATTGCGTGGAATTGCCCCAACGATCGGCCGTCAGAGCTGCGACCATGAAGGCGGTGCTACCGGCAGCCAAGAATGAAGTCGAGGAAGCCTTGCAAGGCATGATCGACGGCGCAGTCGATAACGGATTTCCAATGGAACATGTTAAGTACTTGTGGGATGTGCTCAGCAAGCATGACATCTGGCGAATCAAGTTCGACGGGTCAGACCCACCGGCGAAGGTGAAGCTGTTGAAGGTGACCCCGAAGGATGGGTGTGTTCCTTACCGATGCAAAGGAAGGAAGCACAACCTCCTGGAGGAGAGGTTCCTCAAGTTGTTTGCGACAAGAACTACTCGATGCGGGCGTGATCAAGCGCAACCAGCAAAGTGC